TTGTGATGCCTGTTGGAGGAAACATTCCTCCTCCACCACCGTTTCCTGCACCAGGAGTAGGAGGCTGTTTTGGAGGTATGTCAGGAATGGCAGGCATGCAAGGCATGTCAGGTCCACCAGGGATGACAGGAATGCAAGGCATGATGCCAGGAATGTGTGCCCCACCACCAGGATTTGTTGGAACAAGTTTTCAGAATCCTAGTCCGGTCTTGTCAAGTCCGTCGTCGCAAGTACTAGAGAATATGGTAGTTCTAATGCAACAACAGATGCAGCAGATGCAGCAACAGAATGCCATGATTCTAGGACTAGTACAGCAGATGCAGCAGAACCAACAGCAGAGTCAAGCCGTGCAGCATGTCCAAGCTGTGTCGCAGAGTGCGGCGTCTGGAGCAGCTCATGGAGCTACCGGCCCGAGCCCAGGTTCGGGGAGCCAAAGTGGATCTCAAGGATCGTCTGGGTTGGCTCAGAGTGCATTCAAGAATGTGGATAGTAAGTTGATACCGTCCATGCCAACCTGTCAACCCGAGAAATGGACCACTAGGCCCCAGCAGATCCTAGGATTCCGTGCGTATCTAGAGTCACTAGTGAGCTGGTTGTCCACACTTGCACCCATGTATGCCACAGAAGTTGCACACGTGATGTCCGGAAAACCGATAGCCGATGAGAATACACAGCCTGTAGTCGAAAGAAGTCAGCGTTTGTACTACATTTTGAAGCAGGCATTCGGAAGTTCTTCGAAAATCATGACTGTGTTTCGGTTGTTTGAGTCACAACATGGGTATGGAGCATGTGATGGGTACGCACTGCTAAGAATGTTGAAGGAGGATTTTAGCATCCGCACAAAGGCAGAAGGCTATTACTTCAGGCAGTTGATGGTCAACTACCGTGTAGTTAAGAGCCACCGAACCGATGCCAAAGAGATCGTGCAAAATCTAGAAGGTGAGCTGTTTTTGTATGATCGTCTAGTGCAGAGTATCCCCGATGAAGCGTTTCGAAACGAGTTAGCGTTTCCAGAGAGTGAGAAGTTTCGTTTGCTTCTGTTGAATGTAGATGATGCTACACGGAACTACCTGCAGTTGCATGCTGGTGACACGTTTTTCGAAGCCAAGCAAGCTGCTATTCGCTACTATGAGAGGACAGTGTTGATGGGTCAAGATTTTTCCAAGGTGCCTTCTCTCTCACTGTCAGCTTTTGGCAGCTCGTCCGGGCAGCCGAAGTCCGGAAACCAGACTAGTCAGAAGGACATGTCCCAGGTGGTTTGTTGGAAGTGTGAGAAGAAAGGGCATTACGCCCGTGACTGTAAGGAAAGCGGAAGTCGTCCGTCTTCGAAGCCACCGACACCTCGTTCGAATTCGAACCAAACAGGAAAAGGCAAAGGATCAGGATCTAGTTCGAAAGGAGGTTCGACGTCGCATTCGGCCAAGGGTCCAGGAAAGGATTCGAAAGGAAAGGGCAAAAGCTCTAAGGGTAACAAGAAAGGAAAGCAAGGTAAGAAAGGATATAGAGCCGCCGACTTTGGCGAGGAGCCCCAGGAGACAGAAGAGGAACCTGAGTCCCTACACCCTAGCGAATATGAGTATGGACTAGAGTCAGAAGCAGAAGAGAACCAGTCTGTTTGGAGTGAGCATGAGGGTGAAGTTCGACTAAGTTCGTTTCTTGAGTCGACTAGCGGAGTAGCATGTTGTGAGAGTCTTGCAAGGGTTGAGGACGTCCACACTTGTGTACTAGCTGCATTCACACCGCCGCACTTGAACACACAAGCCGATATGCATGTGCAGAATTGGTCAGAAGAGTCTCTTCGTGTTTTGACTGAGTCAGAGTTGCTCGCTGGAAGTTTACAAAAGACTAGTTCGTGTAGGGATGGTCCACTGCAGAAACGAAAGATCCGAAACTCGTTCGTTTGCGACTTTGTCACTGGAAGGTGCTCGATCGCCAATCCAACCTCAGATGGAGTTCGGAGCCTCGAGAGCCAAATGCCCGTGAGCCCAAGCCAGCAGTCGAAGCCTTTTTGTTGTTTAGATCTAGTGGCCTTTGTAGAGAGCCCATTGGAGACCTCAGCTGAGACCTCATGCAGTCAAGAGTTTCGTGCAGAGTCTTTAGATGAAGGCTTAGAGGTTCGAAGGTCTTGTGATGCAGAGTTCGTCGCAAAGCCTGTTGCACGGCATGTACATGAGTCAAAAGGCTTAGAGGTTCGCAGGTTTGTTGCAGAGTCTTGTGAAGAAGCACTTGGAAAACATGTACATGAGTCAAGAGGCGAGCAGGTTCACAGGTTTGCTGCAGAGTCTTGTAAAGAACTAGAGCCCTGTGCCAACCGTCCGGCAGAGAATCGTGCAGAGCTTGGAGAACAGAACGTTTGTGAGTTGGAGAGGTCAGAGGTTCGAAGGTCTCTTGGAGAAGAGGTTCACAGGTCAGTTGAGGATGAGGTTCATGAGACTTGGAACGAGGTTCGCAGGTCTGAAGAGGTTCGAAGGTCTTGTGATGAGGTTCGCAGGTCCTGTGATGCAACCGTTTGCACTTGCAGTAATCTAGAGTCAAGGGATTTGTGCATGCAAGAGTTGAGACACGAAAACGAGTCAGACTTTGTGAAGAGTTCGTTGCATGGATGTTTGGAGCGTTTCGTGCACGAGTCGTCGAAGCGTCGTTCGTCGATCCAGAGCGTAAGCCGTTCGATTGAAGCGGTTGAGCAATCGCATGGGGGCCTCGGATGCGGATTTGAAGCGTTCCAATTTTGGAGCCCCGGATGTGGAGTTGAGAAAGAGATGAAAGCTGTAAGGGTTGAAGAGTTTTCCAAAGTCATCTTCTTCTTTTGCACGCTGGTGATCGTGTTTGGAAAGATGGTCGATAAGCTAGATAAGCTATGGAATCGCTTGCAAGCTTTGAGATGTGTTTTGCACTTGTTTTGCCAAGAGTTTCACGAGTTTTGCCAAGAGTCGTTTTTGCCAGTTCTCCAGAATTTGTTAGCTTTTGTTTGCAAGAGTTTTCCAAAGAGTCGCAAGTCTTGGAAAGAGCAGCACTCCTGTCATGTCCAGTTTTCCAAAGTAGGAGACATGCATGGAGAGGTTGTTCATTTTGGTTCTGATGACTGCGAGGTGCTTTCGAAGCACGATCCATCAAGCCGAGTGTCCGGGGGACCAATGTGCAAGGCGTTTTTCATGAGTTCGGTCGAGAGCCCAATGGACTTGAGTAGCTGGTGGCTAATAGACTCGGGAGCTTCACGTAGTGTGCTGTCCACGTCGTTCGTGAACAAGTATGAGATTGTAAAAGAGAGGAAACTAGTCCCTCCTTTGAGATTCACCACGGCCAGTGGGGAAACGATGGAAATTGACAGAGAAGTGTTTTGCAAGCTGCCGTTGTCTTTTTATGAACATAATGTAATCGTGCAGCGTCAAGTCACCGTAAGAGCTTTGGTAGCACCTGTTCAGCACAACTTGTTGTCAGTTTACCAAATGAGTAGGCAAGGATGGACGTTCCTTATGCGTAAGGAACTGTGTTCGTTGTCTCTAGGACAGATGACCTACTACCCACTAATCTGGGCTAGCTGCCCCTGGATTAAGTGTCGTGAGGAAAGTGAAGCCCCATCCAATCCGAATGCAGGGAAACCCAAGAAGACCAGAACGCAAGACGAGATGGAGATAGATTCGACCCTGTCCCTGGAAGCCGTAGTCGTCAGCGATTATGAAGAAGATTGGAAGTCCGTAGGAGTTGAGAAGAGCACAACCTATAAGGTACAGTAGCTGACGCTAAGTTGCAACCGTTTGCAACCGATGAAATAGAAGATGCCCCACTTCCGTCGGAACTAGAAGATCTCGATAAGACAATGCCAGACCAGGAAAGTCCATCAACAAAGAACCGACTGTGGAGTCGAGCTCGGTCAGATCTCGTGAGGCATCGTCTTGAGGGACACGCATCGTATCATCCATCGTGCCCCGCCTGCCTTAGTTCCAAAGGAATCCAACGACACAACCGAAGAAACAGATTGGAAGATCGCATTGAAATCCAAGCTGACTTTTGTTACATCCAAAATCACAAGGTGCTTGCGTTGACTGAGCTAAGTTCGGGAGCCTTAGGATACATCTGTATGCAAGAAAACACAGAAGTAGCTCAAACTGAAGTAAGAGCCTGGGCTAGATCGATCGGTATAACCGGACCGTCTACAACTGTAGTAGGAATAAGAACCGATGCCGAACAGAGCTTGGTGAACTTCTTGGAGAGTTCACTAGTAGGAAGGATTGAGAAGTCAGCACCTCAGACTCCGGAGAGCACGGGTGGAGCCGAAAGAGCAGTGAGAGTCTTGAAGGAAAATCTAGCTTGTATAAGTCAGGACTTGTTAGATGATGGATTTCAGTTGCTAGTAAATAGAGAGTCGATCCCGTATATCGTAAGATATATAGCCGTGATGCACAACCAACACCACAAAGTATTTGGAGGAAACAGGACCCCTTCCCAGCACGTTGTTGGACAAGATCGTCAGCCGTTCAAGAGTTCGATGCTAGGAGCGGTAGTGTTCGCAGAGGTTCCAGATTCGGTACAGAGCCCTTCAGGTTCCAGGTTTATCCCAGCAGCATTCCTTGGATATGAGTTTGCATCCCGGGCGCCACTCGTTTCAGGGAAAGTCGGACAACCTGGGGAGACATCCGTTAAGGTCTTTCGGGCGAAATCGATCAAAGTGTTGTCAAAGATCGTGTATGCTGTAGACTTCTGTCCTTTTCTTTTGAAAATAAATGAAGAAGGCCAGGGTAGGCGTAGTGATTTTGACCCCACTGTTGATAGCGGTACCGGATTTAAGGAAAGAGCACCTCTGTCCATGCCAAAGAGTGGACCACCTAAAGCTTGGTTGGATAGGTTCGGACGCACAGAGAACTGTTACGCATGTAAGCAGTCTGCTTTGCACGGTAGGGTGCACAGTGCTCGATGTAAGAGGAGGTATGAGACTTGGTTGCGAGAGCAACGCCAGCAGGAAGAAAACCAGCCTGGGTTCGAGCCCGCACCGCGACCCGAAGGTAGCAGTGCACCTTCCGTCGCAAGCCATCCAACCGGATACCGTCGGGCCTCCCAGAAGCAGCCTCCAGTGGCACCGGCTGGAATGGGAGCCGATTCGTCAGAGCGTTTCGAACCAGAGAGTCCTCCAATCCCCGATGGTCCACCTTTAGATCCCGATAATGATGTAGATATGAACGATTATAGTCCATCTATGGCACCCGCCAATGATCCCGACGATCCAATGGAGATTGACTTGGCCACATCATTTCGATTCGTAAGAGATGAACCGATTGAAATGCAGACCGCCTGTGTTTTCACGGGAGAGACCACACAAGAACTTTTGAAGCTTGGCGCATCCAGTTTAGCCGATCACACCCATGCCAACTTCATATCCCCCATGTATCTCCCTAAAATCGGAATGCCAACCCGGTATTCGAAGTTCAGACTTGGCGGACGAGACGTCTTTTTGGCACGGCCGGAACAAGTCTTCACGGAAGACAGGAAAGTGACTTTAGACGTCGATAAGACGGTGTTGGCTAGGGAAGTTGAACTTGGATCGATGGAGAAAGTCTCCTTTGGCACCATTTTGGACAAGAAAGAGGCTGATGCATTCTGCAAGAAATATGATGTGAAGCCCATCAGTTGTCGATGGGTTGTGACCGAGAAAGAGATCAATAATCTTCCAGACGTGCGATGCCGCATGGTAGTTCAACAAGTGGCAACAGGAAATGGTGTGGCATCGACTTTGGGATATTCTTCGAACACACCTTCAGGTGAAGCTGTGAGATCGATCTTGATTTTGGCCGCCTCGAACGGCTGGAGGATTGGTACGCTGGACGTGAGTACGGCGTTCATGAACTCTGATCTTCCACCTGGCATGAAGGTGATTGTCAGGATGCCAGGCGACGTCAGCCTTTCTCAGGATCATCACGAGCCAGCATTCGCTGTTCTCAAGAGGGCACTGAACGGTCTTAGATGTGCAAGCAAAGCTTGGCTCATGTTGGCCAAGTCGATTTGTGAAAGTCACGGATTGTCAGCGTGCCCTGGAGAGCCCTGTGTGTTCAGGGGAAAGTTCCGAAAGAACTCCTTCTTTTGTAATATGGCACTAGTAATCTATGTAGACGATATCCTAGTGAGTTTCGATCGGGAAGGAGCACTGGAACACCTCAGAGAAGCTTTCCAAGAGAAAGTTCAGAAAGTGAAGTTGTGTGGACAGATTGGTATAAAAGAAGAAGGTAAAGTTACTTTTCTAGGTCGCGAAATCGCCCGAAGAAAGGGATCCGATTCCCTGTTCATCCGTGTTCCACCCTCGTACTTAGAAGAAGTAACTGAAAATATGACCGCCACGGAAATTCCACCCCAGCTAGACTTGCAGAAACAGACATCAGAAGCAGACAACAAACCTTTGACAGCGGAAGCAGCAAGCATGTACAGGACAATCCTTGGAAAGGTAGCATGGTGGGCACAAACCAGGGTAGATGTTCTAAGGTACATTAGCATTCTTTCGACTGGACAATCCACCCCGTTGCATAAGCACGAGATAGGTTTGAAGAAGCTTTTGAGGTTCCTAAAATCATCCCTTCACCTCTGGCAGGAGTTTAAGATAGATAATAAATCAGGTATCCAACTCTACTGTGATGCTAGCTGGAAAGATATATCGGTAAGCGGCTATTGCATAATGTGGAGGGGAAGCTTGTTGAAGGCAGTTAGCCGAACTCAGCAATGCATCTCACTATCGGCATGCGAAGCCGAGCTCGTGGCATGTGCACAAGGGCGTCAAGAGACACTAGGAGTGATTCAGCTGATCAATTTTCTAGAAGAAGACCAAACTAAACTCGTTCGGAACCTTAAGGATCTTATGGAAACAGATGTTGAGGAACTTCCCCGCGGACTTTTCCGAATCAACACAGATTCAGCATCTGGTCTTGGATTTTTGAAAGTGATGGGTTTAGTAGGAGGACAAGACACTTGAGTATTGCATTCAACTTCATTCAAAGACTACTATACCAAGGTGTTTTGGAAATTGTTTGGGTGAGCACTCTTGTACAGCTAGCTGATTTGTTCACGAAGATCACAGACCAGAATGTGACTCGAGAGTTGCGGAAGCATCTTGGCTTCGTTGAGATCGACAGCCCCGAGGAATGGCAATGGAAGGTAAACAAACCAGGAAAGAAGGCTCAGGCAGAGGTAGTGGCCAATCTGACAAGCTCGGACAAGAGTTTGTGGGAACGTTTGTGTGACTTCGAAAAGATGTTAGAACAAATGAGGCCGTTGCTGCTTTTGCTTGAAATCTGCACCCAGCAAGGATCAGGATTTGGACCACATCACCTGAAGACTTATCACAAAAGAAAAGTTTTTGTCCTTCAGGTAACCAAAAGTGAAAATATCCTCGAGTGTGCCCCACACTTGACACAGGAACTGAAAAGACTTCAAGCGAAACATAAGTTTTTGACATATGTTCAATCTTCACACTTGGGTACCCGGTCAAAGGGTAGCTCATCAACAATGCAGAAAACATATATATATCTAGTAAAATATATGAAAACATATGAAAAAAATTAAAAAAATATAGAAAAATTATTTCACATTAAAACAAATTATTTCACATAACAAAAAATTAAAAAATCCCTCAAGCAGTAGCAACAGTGGCCTCCTGTGTGACCCAGCAGACTCTTATTTTCCAGCATAATCTTTCAAGTCTTTCTTGAGTACTTTGCCTTTGATGGCAGTTCACTCACAATACTGCTCAACTCTTCCATGGTTACATCAGGAATATCTCCTGGATTCTGCACACTGGAATCTGAGAGCCTGTACAAAGGCTTGGATGCCAAGTGTGTTTTCCAGGCATTCCAAGCATGTGTGTGAACCTCTCTCAGCTTTGACTTCCAGTTCACACTGTCTTTGGAGTTGAATGATCTGGAGAATGAAGGCATACCCAATGATGTGTGAAATGCTGCTGTCCATCTATGATCATTACCTTAATTGGAGTGGATTGCAAACATTTATATATTGGAATTGGGGTGCTTGAGTCCAGAGTGGATAACAGAGAAAATGATAAACAACACATACTGATTGTCACCAAGTATCTGTTCAACCTCAGGCTGCAGCCTGGAGGACAAATCTGTTGCAGAATTTGTGGTGATTGGTACAAGTTAGGCCCCCTAGGCCTGGAGCTTGCTGCAGGTGCTGATGGTTCTATGGATGCTGATGGCTGCTCCATGGATGCTGGTGGTTCCACAGGTGCTGATGGCTCTGGTTGTGTGTCCATGTGCGCTGATGGCTCTGGGTGTGTGTCCATTTGTGCTGATGGCTCTGGTGGCTGTATAGAATCCATGTGTGCTGTTGGCTGTATAGGTGGTGGTGACTCTATGGGCACTGATGGTGCTGATGGGTCAGGTGGTGCTGTGGTGGGCACCTTTGCCTCACCTTCAGCAACAGCAAATTCTGGCGCAAACTCACCAGGGCTTGTTGGTGAAGGTGTTGTTGGAGCATACTCATCCATGTCTATGCTGATAGCTGGTGGTGCTGCATTGGGCTCTTCTACCTTTGCTGCCTGTGGTGCAGATGGCTCTATAGGATGTGGTGGCTCTACAGCAGGTGGTGGCTCTTCTACCCTGGGTGGTGGCTCTGTAGGAGCTGGTGCCTCTATGCATGCTGGTGGCTTCTTGGCTGCTTTCTTTGCTTGAGAGCTTTTCTGTGCAAATTTACCTGCAAGCTCTTTTCCCCTCCCTCTCCCCCTGCCACCTCTCCCTTTTCCTTTACCTTTTCCTGGTGGTGCTTCCAGTGGCAATGTTGGTGACTCTACCTGTGTTGCATTTGGCTCTTCTACCTTTGCTGTGTGTGGTGCTGATGGCTCTATAGCAGCTGGTGGCTCTATAGGAGCTGGTGGCTCTGTAGAAGCTGGTGGCTCTGTAGGAGCTGGTGGCTCTATAGGAGCTGGTGGCTCTGTAGAAGCTGGTCGCTCTGTAGGAGCTGGTGGCTCTATGGGTGCTGATGGGGGTGCAAGAGGCTTGGCTGCTTTCTTTGCTTGACAGCTGTTCTTGGCAAATTTACCTGCAACCTCTTTTCCCCTCCCTCTCCCCCTGCCACCTCTCCCTCTCCCTCTCCCTTTTCCTTTTCCTTTTCCCCTGCCTCTTCCTCTGCCCCTTTGGTTTTCTGCTCCCAGCATGATGTGGCCAGCAATGGCAGTTTTCTGTCTTTTTTGTTTGAGCTTCTGCTGCTCAGCTTTAATGTCTGGATCATTTCTGTTTTCTGTGTCTTCCTCCACCAGGTCCAGAAGGTCTTGGTACTCTGACAGCTTGTCATCATCCACCCCCTCTTCTTCATCCTCCCCTGTTTTTGCATTGGACAAAGCTAAA